AACTGTTTTTTGAAGTTTACTTTGGTATTTGTGTAAATTAAGTACAGTATTTTTTGGACTATAAGGCACACTTAAAATCCTTTTAATATTCTTTCAAAAATTGACAGCGTGCCTTATAATCTGGTGCGCTTTATGTATTAATTCTGGTTGTGCTTACTGACCTCAGACTGATTTTATGTGGTACACGGCACTCCAAAATCTGTCAAAATGTTTTAGTATGACTTTGGTAAGCTACGAAGCCGCACCGTTTGATGGATTTTTTAAGTATTACAGCTACCGTAGTCAAGAGCCTCATGGAGTAAAGCCCAATTTTACGATCTTTAGTCCGACAGAAGCTGACTGCACCAAGGCACAAGGAGTGAGCAGTTTTTTCAGAGCTTATAGTTTATGCAAATGAGCCATGTGGTTTTAAGTTTTGTTTCTGTAAAACGTAAACAAATGTGCACAAAGCTGCATTAAACACATTATTACTCAATGTATATTTCAGTCGTCCTCGTAGGAAATAAAACCACCCACATTCACATTCATAATACACATTCACCAAGACAGGGAGACAACGCCGGGCAAATTACACCACGATCTGCCAGTGGATCATCTCAAGTATCGTCTGTTTGTTTCGCTTAATGCGCCTTATAATCCGGTGCGTCTTATGTATGTATGTATGAAAATAGACAAGAGAATTCAACATTACTGATACTGAGCCTTATAATCCAGTGCACCTTATAGTCCAGAAAATACGGTATTTGATTTTCACTGTTCTAAAAATGTGAAGGTGGCGTAGCTGACCCTCCACCAGAAAAATTGTGTGATTCACCCTTAAAATGAGAAGCGTAGCTCCACATAAATATTTATTCAAGCCCAATTTGTCAGCCAAAAGTAAATTATTTTGTCTCAACATGTGTCATGCCGTACCCAAACTCCTCTGTTTCTTGAAAATAAAGAGTAAGCCGCCTTAGCATTCTCTCTGCTTGAGATGAAAACAAAACCTCGAGTTGTGGAGTTGTCTTGTGTTCCTTCCTTGTGTTCCCTGCGTCTCTGTGTATTCTTTAGTATGCAGTGTGGGTCTTTGTCAGGCAGTACTTTCACTTCGGCGCACTCTTAAGTTCAGATGGCTTTACTAAATGCATGTTTGGGTTGCGCATGATTCCACCCGCTGATCCGTACATACACAACTGGCTCCAGCGCCTGGTAAACAAGATAACAGCAGCTAAAGGTTGAGCACTAGACTCTGGGAGGTTAGAGAACAAAGATTGGATTTTAACGTTTATTCCGTTTTGTTGTATAAAGAGATTTAGTGTACAAAGAATTGTAGATAGAAGAGCCCGGAATGTGTTCTTGCTTTTGAAATATGTGCAGGATTCCAGTGGGTAATTTAAATTCTGGGCGGTTTTGTCACTTTGTTGAGTTGTCCTTGTCTTCACAATAGAAACAGTTTTCAACTTTAGTTAAAATCCTCTATCCATGAACTTATAAAAAGTTTCCATTTCCCTCTTGACCTGTTGCAAAGTGGTCTTGAGTGGTGACCATCTGAAAAATGTGCATTAAAATGTCTTAGTCTGGTTTATAAAAAAAAAAAAAATAAATAAATAAATCTAGTTTTGTATTAGAAATATGCCTAATGAATGTGGTAAAAGATGCAGCTTTTCTGGTGGAGGTTGTTATCTCTTTGTCTGACACTCTTGACAGCACCTCTCCACAGATCTGACCTGTATCTTGACCTGGTGCCCTCACCTGCTTGTCTCCATGGAGATTGAAAATGATAGTGGAAATTAGGGGTGTGTAAAAATTGAAATATCAGTATATTGTATCGTTTAATGTGATGATAGTATTGATATTGTGGGCTGATTTTTTCAGTAGTTAGTTCGTTTTTTGCAAGTCTGAAGTAAGTCTCAAGTCTTTGACCTCAAATCTGATTCCCAAGTCTCAGGTCAAATGCAGGCAAGTCCAAGTCGCCCGCTGATCTGAAGGTTGGCAGTTCAAATCCCGCTCTCGACATAAACATCTCGGGTTGAGTGGTCAGACCCACAGGTTGGCTGGTGTGAATCCAGCTCCCACAGATGAATGCTGTTGTCGTATCCTTGGGCAAAACACTTAACCCACCTCACCAGTGTCTGTGTACACTGGTGTGTGAATGGGAGAGTGGTTCCTTGTTGTAAAGCATTTTGAGTGCCTTAAAGGTGGAAAACTGCTATAGAAAAATGTGACAATTTACATCAAGTCCAAGTCATCTGCTTTGAGCTTCAAGTCTTTAAACCAAAGTAGCAAATATAGCTTAGATTTTTTGCAATTTATTTGATTTTTAAACTAAATTGTACTTACAAAGTCATGGTATATTTATATATGAGTATTTGTATAAGAGTTGTAGAAATGCAAATTATTCCTTTTCAAATGTTTTGACAAGATTTTAATGTGAATCATTGTGGTCAGAACAGAAAGAATTCAGATTTAAGAGTGCTAAATAACAGTTATTTTCTTGTGAAGTCTGCACTGAAATGGAAGGATCATGTTCTATGTACTTCCCTCTGTTTTACTGTATTGTACTGTATATTACTGTTGTACATTTGAGGATACTACATCACAGTACTTCAGTCACATCCAAAGAAACAAACAGAGAAGTGGGAGGGACATGTTCCACTTCGTTCCTGTAAAATTAATCTCTGCATGAATCAACTGTAAAGATAAAAGCATTTTCTAAAAACTGTATTTTTTAGGAGAAGCATCAAGTCTTCTCAAGTCACGGGCCTCATGTCTGAGTCAAATCCTGAGTCACTGACCTTCAAGCCCAAGCTGAGTCCCAAGTCTTAGTCCATTTTATCAAGTCAAGTCTCAAGTCCTAAAAAGAGTGACTCAAATCTGACTCGAGTCTAAGTCACAAGTCACAGTCCATCAGAAAAGTCACAAATTGTACAAAACCCCACAAATGCATTTACTACTATTATTGTCATCATCATAAAAGCCTAACTATCTATAAAACTTACTCATTTACTAATAACAATTGTAATAAATAAATCTTTTACGCAATCATATCACCCTTTGTTGTTTTTATATTTTATTGTCTCTGTAAATCAAACCAGGATCAAGGTCAGGAGAGTCTACACTGCATTTTTACCAACTCCTGTACACATTCAATTCCCATTTTCTTTGCTTGTAAAAGTGAAATATGAACACACGCTGTTTAATACCCCCGTTAAACCTCGATTTCACACCAACTCATTTGTATCGTAGATCACATCATATCACACCAGATCACGCGTCGACAATAAGCATCTGGAGACAGTTCACTCTGAGGTAAATTGGAGTTTTCTTTATTCAAAACACAATGTTGGCACAAAACCGTTTTCCTTTAGTCTGTACAGTAATGCATGAATGTCCACAACGCAACAGCCCCGATGGAGGGTGACAGTGATGATCATTTATTACACAGTAGAAGAAGTGAGCCTAATACATCTCGTAAGTGCGCAGAAATGACAGTACATCAACCCATGCTATTCAGTCAGAGTCATTTAGAGAACGTGAGTAGCAATGTCGTAAGCAATGTACCACTTTTGTGCTTGATTCACAATAGAGGATCCAGGTCTTTTTGGAGTCGTCTGCCGTTTTTGTTGACCGAATGCCCTTTGGATGTACCACACTTGTTCGAGGACAGTTTTATGTGGTGACTGCGTTGACGGATGGTCCATTATGCCACCCCAGACACTCATAACCGTCCAGCTAATCTTAATTCGCTCCGGAAATTGATATAGGACGCGAGTTTGCTTGTCTTGGCTTTGCTTTGTTTCTCGAGTAGCTAATTGTCAAGGCCTTCCAAAGTACAGCAACTCGAGGCTCACTTAAAACAGTGGGCGTCAACTATGAAAGAGGAAAAAAAATTAAAAGATCAAGACAAAGAGAATGTTACTTTCTTTCTTTCTTCAGTAGTCAAAAATCACAAAACACGAAATGCTGGGTTGTACAGAGCGCTAGTGTAAACAACAACGATATCAGCCGGAAATGTACGGAAATGAGAACTTCTCTTGCAGCTTCCAAAGGGATAAAACAGCTCTCGGCATCCTTGTAAACATCGGAAGGTCCAGGCAAAACCAGGTCCTCCACGAAGAAGCAGAAATCACAAGCTTTCAATGGCAATGCTCACGATGGCACGTCCACATCTCCATGCATTCTGAGCTTAAAAGTCATCCCACATGAAGCGTAAGAATCTCACAAAAAGAGTAGCCAAAAATAATGTACAGCACATAATACAAAAATGAATCCCATTTTGTTCTAAATGGGAAGTTCATCAAGGAACAAATGTTGGAAATATGAGTGACCATTGCCAGCTCATATTGTCTCCTCTCTCATGGTGCTCACATGTTCCTATGCTTGCACGAATGGCTGTTGATTCCCACAGCACCCAGAGCTCATTCAAAATAAAAAAAATCGCTCCTGTTCCATCAGATGCCATCCTCTTGGTGGAACTTGACGTTAAGTTGCAAAAGACATGTACTTCAAAGTGCAGTCTGTAAAGTACAAAACAGTTACTGCAGCTGCTTGTTGTGTGGAATCAGCAGGAGCCTGTTGATCGAAGAGTGGGTCTACACCAGGCTGGGACTGAACTGAATACAGGGGCAGTATCACTGCTGAAATGGCTTTGTTTATCAGCATGTGTGTTGTTGGTGATCAGTAATAGAGGTCTAGCTTTATGGCTTCAGCATCTTGGACAACAATGCCTTCAGTACTACCCCACAAGTGTGCCCAGCCCTGGGCTTGAGTTCTGCATGAACACCCCCCCATCCAGTCCAGTCCAAACTACTGTGTCCCTCTACAGCATAGACCTAAACTTTGCCAGACGCTGTCAGTTTTAAGCAGAAAGCAGACAAATGATTGTCATGAGTAGTATTGACGTTGGCTCATGGTGAGTTTTCCAGTTCCATTCATAGTTCAGGTTCAGAGGTTGGCATTTCCAAAGGTCCCTGTTTTAGAGTATCTTGTGTGAAGGTAGATGCTGTGGAGGCTCCCCGCTGTTACACGTGGGTCTGCATGCGTTTCTGCAGGGGCCTGGTCAGGTCTGAGTTCTGGGAGGAAGACTGGGAGTAGTGGGAGGAGGAGCTGGCTGAAGTCTTGCTGTCCTTGTCAAACTGCACGTATCCGTCCTGTTTGCTGTAGCTGCTGACGCTGCTGTCGCACTGAGTGTCGATGAAGGAGCTGGAGTCGCTGAGGGAGCTGCGCTGGAACTCACGCTCGCACAGCTCGATGGAGCTGCTGCCCATGCCCAGGACGAAGCGCTGGCCGTAGTCATAGAGACGGTTTGGTCCTGCCCCCAGAGTGTTGTAGATGTTGGTGAAGGACATGCCGGTGGGTACTCTCTGTTTGCCGATGGTCATGGAGCCGGATGGAGGGCTGCGCACAACGTCGGGCGTCTGGCTGGAGGTCAGGGACATGGTGGGGGTGGCATGGTGCTCGTTGAAGGTGTTGACACTGTAGTAGCCATTGGTGGGGTCCTGTGGGCACACAACATATTATTTCAACAATGAGACTGTCATTGTATCTTATTTTACATGTAAAAAGACTTTTTAATCTGCAGGAGCTGTGGGAGTTTCTTGTAAACAGTTGCATTGTGAGCACAACAGGAATTTGCTGAGGTTGAGAAAATAATAATAATACTTAAATAAATCTGTTCTTAATTACTGAAAAGACTAACAATTGTCAACAATTATGTAAATGAATTAAAAACCATACTTTGGTTCATGTACCGTCTGTTCTTTTGAATTTCAATTAAGAACGAAAAACAATAAAATGGGAAGACAGTCCCTTTTAGTGTCAAACAAAAAACAGATTTTGACCTCTATTTACAATATTTAATTTAAAGTTGTTGTTTTTTTTCAAATAACACCAATCAAATAAACTGTCTCGGTGCTATTTTAATATTGATATTTTATTTTCTCTGGTTTATCTGCCCCCGCAGTTGTGCTGCAGTGTAAACCATGGATTTATAATAAAAATATTTTTATTATAGTTCTATGATGTCAACTAAACAAAAGAGAGTTCTATAGCTGCTTCCTGTTTCTCATCATGGAGTTCAACAATTAATGACTTTCTAGGACGAGAAAGTAATCGCATCACTGTGTTTGTCTAGCCTGATTCACTTCGTGTCTCTTTGTATAAACCATCTGACCTTGCAGCATTAGAATTCGTTCGCTTAACAGTAGGCGGGTACTTTTTATCATTTAGCCAATCGCTGATTTGGTAGTCACATATGTAATGCTCTGCTAACAGGCTAACTGGTATATTAAGCTTTTCCCAAATCCTGAAGGAAGAAGGACAATAACGTCTTTACCCCTCATAAAATTCATCAAACATTCACTTTGTTCCGGCTTTAAACCCTCGATCGTTGACAACACTGAATATATGGCTCTTCACTGATTGGCTGGTGCCTGAACTCGCACTTCTGGGGTTTTGCGAACCGTCTAGTGTATTTTAATTCCAGACCTAGTTGCGGAAGAGAAATGAAATTGAGCGGAGGCACTAGGTGGCACCAGTCTGGCTAATGTTTGTCCACAAAATTGCAACGATTTTTCTGGTAAGTCCTTCTAGCAGCAGAACTTCTGGGGCAAATAAACCAGAGAGAATAAAATATCCAAAGTGAAATAGGCACCGACACTGTTTTTGATTGGTGGTATCTGAAATAAACTTTAATCAATATCGGAAAAAGAGGTCAAAATCTGTTTTTGTTTGACACTGAAACGGAAAAATGAAAGAACAAACTGTTTTCCCATTGCACTGTTTTGCATTCTTAATTGAAATTCAAAAGAAAGAATGGTACATAGACCTACTTCCCTCTTGGGCCTGACTGACTGTGAGCAGAGTTAAACTTGGACCTCCCTCCTCTCTAGCTTCTCTAATCCTCCTGTAGACACTCTGTACCTGCGGGTCAGCAAACACATTTATAACACAAGTATATGAGGAAATGATGAATACAAAGAGTCTTTAACCAGCCTCATTTGTGCTTCGTGAGACAACAGGCTTAAATGGAGTGAGTCATCCGCACTTCTGAACCACCTACTGCTAATGAAGGCTTCGTGATGAGCTATATTATGTCTGCTATCACATGTATAGGCTTTTCTGTCACTGCATATTGCATTATCGCTACCCTGCAAAAATATGAGAAAGAGCTGCACATAAATCAATTTGTAACCTTATATCAGCAATACGATACGACTGCAGTGTTAAAGCTTCGCACCCAAAACTCACCATGAAAGTAATGTAAAAAAACGCAATTACCCGAGAAATCTAAAAACTTTGTAATGACCAAACTTCTACAGCATAAATCTCCTGGAAACTCTTTTGAACCTTAACTTTTGATTGAACCGGCCTATTCACACCAGCACCAACTCATGAAATCTAATTGTCTGTGCTTCCTTGAATGGAAAACGTTAAGCTTGACATTGAGTTTAGTAACTGTAGCTTGTTAAAGGTGCATTGTGGAACTTTTCTAATGTGGGAGGTCCATCAAATGCTTTTTGCCATGAGATGTTATTGCTTTGTCTGGAATGGTTCACAGAGTGGAATCCTTTCTATCTATCGATTTATGACTATGGAGACCAAACCAGACCAAGTTACAGGTTAGATCTGTGAAGAGGCAATCCCACTCACAATCAGAATGCCTGTTTTTTTGTTTAGTTTTATTTTTTTATTAATGTATTATTTTTATTGTTTTTGGTATTTTGGAGCTATAAAACCACCTGCTTATCTCCATGGAGATGTTATTGCTTGTGTTGCAGTACAATACCGGTTTTGGTCTCAAGACAGGCTTTGAGACTGTTTTTTTATGGTCTTGGGTTTGTCTTGGACTTGAGTGCATTTGGACTCTGTCTTGTCTCAGCCTTGAAGGTGCTTGGACTCGGTCTGGTCTCAGACATGAGGTCTGACACTCGTCAAATACGATCATATTTCATTACGACCGCTGCTGTCAGCAATAAACTTGTACTGGTGTGCGGTACATCCGTACTTGTCACGATGTGTGTTTAGTAAATGTGCAGAGGCTAAATCAAACTGCAACATCAGTAAGAAAATGTAACTCCAGTTCGGAATTTGAAAAAAACAGATCTTGTCTTGGTCTTGTCTTGGATTCGAGGTCTGACACTCGTCGAATGCAATCATATTTCATTACGGTACTGGTGTGCGGTACATCTGTATTTGCCACAATGTGCATTTAGTTTGGTAAATGTGTAAATACCACTGCAAAACCAGTAAGAGAATGTAAGTCCAGTTAGGAATTCGAAAAAAAAAAAAAACAGACTTAAAAATCCTACCCACTTTATTCACTTTGTTCACAGTTTTCTGTAAAGTGCCAGTGGAAGTTCTGTTAAAGAAGGGGTTCTCAAACTGCAGTTGAGGGTCCAAAAAGTGTGTTTAAGTGCAGTACAGTTTGCTTGTCTTATTTTAATCTTAAATTAAGATTTATCAGATCAAATGGAGATAGATTTATTAAAAAAACATTGATATATTTGTGCCAAAATAACTGTAAAATACAAACAAATGTAGAAAATGACAAAGATGGTCTTGACTTGGTCTCGAGGGGCTTTGGTCTCAGCCTTGTCTCAGTCTCGTCCTTTAAAAGTCTTGGTCTTGTCTTGGTCTTGATCCTCAGAAGTTTTGGTCTTGTCTCGGTCTCAGGACCCCGTAGTCTCGGACAGGTCTTTGTCTCGACTAGTGTGGTCTTGACTTCACCACTAGTTATCGCTTCCCAGGTTCCGTGGTATGACATTAAACACATCTATCTGGCATTTATTCATTATGGGTGTTTCTATTCATTATGGGTGTTTCTATTGCTCTCTGCCGATTCCCCACAGATCTGACCTGCAACATAGCCTATAGTTGTCTCCTTTGAGATTGATAGGTTTAATCTCTAACCTGGAACAATAACATCTCCATGAAAACAAGCAGGTGACGTACCCCCATCAAAAAGTTACACAGTGCACCTTTATTTCCGTGTTTACCTGGACTTAAAACAATAGCTGAGTAAGTAGCATTGAGTCTCATTCCTTAAGTGCTCTCTCTGTAAATGTACTCAGAGGCCAGTTAATTAGGCACGGGGCTGGACTGAGCAGAATGGATGGGAGAGACAGTGACTTGGCTGTGGCAGTGTATAATAAGAAGGCGGAGGGGGGGGGCTGTGCATTGATTGGTGAATAATAAAATGGGGTAAAATGGCAACTCAGTGAACGCACGGCCAAAACATAATGCGGCGTCTTGGCAATAAGTGACGTGATTTATCATCATTGGGCACAGATCTGTCTTGTCATGTTTCATGTTTCATTTTCCGAGAGACAAACAGAACGGATGAAATTCCAGAAGCGAAATGAGAGACAGTGACGCCAATTTGTATGCACGGAAGACGGTTAAAGGGGCTATATTATGCAAAATCGACTCTTGTGAGCTTTAAGCCATGTTATAATGTTGTTGCCTCCTCAAAAACAGACCTGGAGTTGTGTTTTGTTTCGTTCAGGCATGTTTGAGTAATCCTGATTTATTTGTCTGTCTACATCTCCAAATCTGAAAATGCTCTGTTCCACCCCGTGAAGTGGTAGTTTCCAAGTTAACAGCTACTAGGGATGTAAAAATAACTGAAATATCCTGATATATTATTGTCAGAACTCACAATAATATCAATAGCTGTCACAATGCATTGTTTTATAGTAGCAACAGCTAAAAAACATAGAGGACTGCATATCCCATGATTCATTTCAGCTCAGACAACATGAAGAGATATGTTTTTTACTTAAATTCTTGGGATTATGACAGTAATGATCACACCAAAATCTTGTCAAAGTATTTTAAATGCAAAAAGTATGGCAGAGTATCCCCAGGTTTGACTACCCCAAACTTAACACTTTTTACAACCACTTAAATGAAAATTAAGACCAATTTCGCACCTATAATGCAGGTGAAAAATACCAGACCCAATTCAAATATTGACCAACCAACTACTACTACTACTACTACTACTACTACTACTACTACTACTACTACTACTACTACTACTACTACTACTACTACTACTACTACTACTACTACTGCTACTGCTACTGCTACTACTTGTGGCCATACCAGCTTGTCAAAGACTGATCCCGTCAGATCTCAGAAGCTAAGCAGGCCTGGCCTGATTAGTACTTTGATGGGAGACCACTGGGAATTCCAGGTGACACGGGGGGGCACCAGTGGTAAAAACTGTTGTTGTGTCCTTAGGCAAGACACTTCACCCACAATGCCTAGTATGGAAGTGGTGTGTGTGTGTGTGTGAGAGATGGCGGTGGTTGGAGAGGCTGATGGACAGCATCACTTCCATCCGTCTGCCCCAGGGCAGCTGTGAGCGTTGAGTGAATGAATAATGAACTGTAAAGTGCTTTTGGGTATCTCGAAAGGTGCTATATAAATGCAATGATTAATTAATTAATTAATACTACTACTACTACTACTACTACTACTACTACTACTACTA